AAGTTAAGCAGGGTGAAAGACTAGAGAATGACAGGGGCTGCTGTTTTAATTAAGCTTCTTTGAGGAAGTGCTATTTGAAAAACAAACCAAATGAAGATATGGACTAAACAGGCATCTTGGAGAAGAGCATTTCAGGTAGAGGAATCATTAAGCATAAGGGTGCTGAGGCACAAGCAGGCCCACCTGATTGGACTAATACAAAGGACCCACTGCAGCTACAGTGCAGAGAGAGAGAGAGAGAAAGAGAAAAGAGGAGATCAGAGAGGTAGCCAAAGGTAGAAATCACATTACGGACTTTGGCTTTTTCTCTGAGAATTAGGAAACTTTGAGCAGAGGAATGACAGAGGGGTGGTACCTCTGAAAAGAATTACTCTACTCTGCCTGCATAGTGGAGAATAGACTGTAGGAGGGCATGAGCTGGGAGCCAGGAGACAATAGGTGAAAAGGTGACAGAGGCTTGGACCAGGATGGTAGTACTAAAGGTGGTAAGAAACTGTTGGATTCAGGACATAATCTCAAGGTGGAACCAGCAGGATCTGCTAAGAAGTCAAGGTTTTTGGCCTTCATAACTGGGAGAGTGAAAGTGCCATTTACAGAGATAGGGAACAGTTTGGGGCTTGGGGAAATTAAGTGTTGGACCTGGTTAAGTTTGCGATGCCTGTTTGATAAAGTATAGATCTTGAGTAAAAAGTTGGATGTATGAGTCTGATGTTCAGTGAAAGGTTTGGGGCTTAAGTTAAAATTTTGGGGTGTGATCTATTTTATTTTAGAAAAACTCTAAAACCATCATTAACAGCATTATTTTTATTTCAGATCAAACCATATACCATCGTTGAAAGGAAGCCCAGAATATTCCCAGTAAGTCTTAAACATCTCTGGTTTTTGTTCTTATTTTTCTCTCTCCTTTCCCAAGTGATCATGATACTAAAATGTTCCTTTCTTCTTGCTGAAAATTTAAGTGCCTCTAGGAAATAGTGTGAGGTAGCAAATACAGTTGAACCTGGGAGATGGTCACATTTCTTTTCAACCTGGCTGTAAAACTTGTTGTGTGACCTTTCTAGTCCTAAAGTGAATAGAAGGCACCAACAGTTTTTCATCGGTGCCCTGTTTCATGTAGGGTTAAGGACTTAGGGCACTAGCCTGAGGATAGTAAATTCCTCTGTTACTTACAAACTATCATTTCTTAAGGCAGTTAGACATTAACTTCTCTGTGAATTTATAATCTGTTAATGTGTGTTTTAAATTTTATATTATGGGGAGAGGGTGTAGCTCAATTGGTAAAGTGCATGCTTAGCATGCATGAGGTCCTGGGTTTAATCCCCAGTACCACCTCCAAAAATAAACAAACCTGATTACCTCCCTCTACCCCCCCAGCCAAAATAAAATAATTAAATAATATGATGATAAATAAATAAAAAATATTTAAAAAATTTATATTATGAATATGTGGACTATTATCCTAATTTAAAATGAGTTGTCTCATCATTCAAAGATTACTCATTAGTCAGTTGGTATTTTTACTGGCTGTTTTTGAGGTGGTTGTTTAGCAGGGTAAAATATATGTTATGTTCTTGTCCCAGTTCTAGTCACAGATAATGAACTCCCATCAGTCTCTAAGTTCTGTAATGTTAGAAGAGAAAACCCAGTGTAGATTCTTGCTTCTATGAAATGACATAGTCACAGCAATCCATTATCTACTACAACAGAAGGGAATTTTAGGGAGAACTACCAAAATTGACTAACCCTTCCAGTTGGAATTCTGCTTTAGGAAATAGTAGGGGATTTCTTCTGTATTTCATCATGTATAATTTATGCATGTCAGAGCCTTGGTCATCTCAATTATTTTGCTGGTTTCACCAGTTAGGTTATTTATTTATTCTTCATGTTTGTTTGTTATTTATTTATTTTGCCATTACCGTGCAAAGGAAAAGGAGGACTCTCTTTAGAAAACCACCTAGTGATTCCTTAGCACCTCTCCTGTGTCTCTATTTTTTGCCACTGTGGTTCTTTCCTGTTTCGATGCCATTGACCCCTTTCAGACCTGAGGACCTGAAGAATGCTCATCTGTCCATAACTTAGAATAGGATAGACAGTAACAAACTCACTCCCAAGTCTCAGAGGCGGAATAAAACAAAGGTTTGTTTCCTTTTGACATTACAGACTATATTACATTATTACAATATTCCATTATAGTAAGGCCGTTGGGAATATGAGGCTTCCAAAATTATAGGGAAAGAGAGGGCTGGTTGTCTCAGAGAATGATTTTAAGGTCTAAGCTTGAAAGTAGTTTACATCACTTCACTTTAAATCCTCTGGGCCAGGACTCATTCTTACGGTCCCAGATATCTATGTTCTTTTTCATATTGTCCAGCCTCCCATGCCTGGAGTCTCTGCCACAGTCCATCCTTCTAGTCAACACATAGCTCTTTGCTTCCTTCTTTCTACACATGTAACAGAAGTCCCTTTCCTAGGGAGAAATCCCAAGGACTCATTCCCTCACTGCAGCCATCCTTAAATCTAAGATCTGCAGATGATGCATAGTAGTATCTGTCAGATTTATACTTGGGAGGTTGTATCCTTGGAGATTTGAGGATCCATGGCAAGTGAACTGTATCCTTTGCCCTCTAAACACGCTCGTTATTCAGCGGTGGAATCTGGACAGCATAGCAATCACGGATTCTTGTCTGTCACTTGGTCCTAAAACCCCAATGGTCAAACACTGAGAAGTCTCATAACACTTTTGTGTGGGAAGTTACTTAAACAGGTACTGATTTTGCTTCTGGAAGGAATGCCTTTGTTCATGGTTCTTCCTGGTCCCTGGCTCCGTCTAGGGGGGTTCTTTCTTTTCCGTGTCAACCTAGACCACACCTAAAATAAGTCCTGGGAAGCACGTTCTCCTCAGGGTTGTGCAGCCTGTAAAATCTATCTCCTGCTCACAGAAGGGCGAGTGCCAGAGGTTGTTTTAAGCTGAAACATTTAAAGGCTTTTCTTGTCTGTAGGTTTGGTTTCTTTGGTCATCTAGTTCTCACAACACTTGTCAGGCATGGAAAGAAAACTGCTTGGTGGGAGGAGTCTAATCTTTTTGCTTCTTGTCAGTCCCGTGCCAGTATCTGTGCTTTCTACACACAGTTACCAACTGCCTCTCAGCGTGGTGGCGGCTGTGTGGAGGACCCCTGGAACAGCCTCTGGCTCAAAGGCCACCTTTACTTCAATCTCATTGCCATAGTGCTGAGTCCCTCTGTATAATGGGTTTCATTGGGCTTCTGTTTCTTACAATCTCTTCAGTGTTAACTGTTTAGAGACCAGAAACAGTCAATCTTATTTTCTAATATTGCAAGGCCCTGAATATTTAGATTCTCATTTTTATTTCTCCTCTCAAATCAGCCACATCTTACCTGAGCTTATGTTTCTTAAAGTACCTTCCTAAGGCAGACACTAGTAGTTAAATATATACTGTAATTTTTTCCCAGGTACTTCTAGAACCTCAAGTTCATCAGACAGTCTGCTTCTACGTTATTAGTGCTTTTTGTCTCCATCTTTTAGCCTCCAATGCCAGTGTCCTTGCAGCCAGACTGTTAAGTCATGACTGAGCCATGTGGTTCAGTTTTTCTTACAGCAGCATGAGTTACTAATTTACTTCGTTACTAATTTCTGTGTTAGGGTAATGCTACCTGTAGTAACAAAGTTTCCCCAAAATATATAATGGCTTAAACGTAATACAGCTTTACAGTCCTGAGCAGTACCAGGTCAGGGAATGGCAGTCAATTCATGGGCTATCAGGCTGACAGAATTTGCTGTCTTAAACAGACAGCTGAAATTAAACCTAAGTACTTTGCCTAAAATTATACAGCTTGTCAGTGGAGGGTTCCAGGTTCTCACTACTTGGTTCTGGCTTTAAAGCCCATGCCCATTCTGCCACACACACTGTACCTGGGTTTGGAAAGACACCTGAACCAGCTGCCAAGGGAAACTTTGTGTTCTATGTCTAACATCTGAGCCAAACCATTCAACTGGTGATTGCCTAACACATTCAGTTGCTGGGAATACATTGCCTCCTTATAATGAAGGGAAAATGTTTCCCTGAAGCTTCTTTCTAGGGCTTCTCCTATTTCCTGGGCTAAGCGAAGTAAAGATTATCCCTCTATCACTTTGTAAAGGCAACTTTCATGTCCTTTCTGGTCATTTTGTGTGAGTGAAACTCCCCCTATTCTTTCACTTATTCCTTAAGATTTTGAAGACTCGTTGCTCATCTTTTAGACAGCTCCTATTGTGCTTGTGTCCCTTTTAAAGTGTGAATCTCAGAGCTGACCTAGATTTTCCAGATGAGGTCTGATCAAGTAAAACTACCACCTCTGCAGACAAGATTTTTTCACGAATGCATCTTTGTTTTTCTAGGGTGATACAATTCTGGAGACTGGAGAAGTAATTCCACCAATGAAAGAATTTCCTGATCAACATCACTGAAGATTACCTTAAAATTTCAAAGGTGTACGAGCCCCAGTTTGTTGCTCCATTACCACACTTAATATATTTTCTGGAAAAGTAACTTTAATAAAGTTTACTCTGAGTTTACGTGTTTTCTTTTTCTTCCCAAACACTGTACAATTTGAGACTCTGAATTATTTAACAATAAGTGAAAACTGGACAAGCTAAAAAAAATATGAGCAATCATCTACTTTTTCTCGGCATTCTTCATTTGGAAAATAGGATGTAGAGAAGTATTTAGTCACATGACAGTTTTTTTCTTGCACAGGACTTAATCTAGCCTGCTGTGAAGGTATGCACAGAATGACATCTTGCAATATACAAATACAAGAACAGAAATTCCACACACTTTTGCTTTAAAGAAGGCCTTCCGGGGCATTTAAAAATAAGTCTTTTAGAAAGGCTGTCAGATCTAGGTTGCTTTGTTATGTGAGAATGTAAAACACAAATTTAATTGAAAAATTAGCATATTCATAGCCCCCTTAGAGAACTGTATACAAAGTGAACTTGGAAACTCTGCATTAAGGATTTTACTTTAAATCTAGACACGAGCCAGATAAGAATGAGGTGAAGGGCTGTATTTGCATGGAGTTAAATCCAGAGGGATTACAAATTTTCGCTCATCCCGAAGATCTTGTCTGGGTATTCCTTCTTTAGCTGTCGTCGGGCAGCTACTGTTGATGCATAGATGACGTAGCCCCAGGAGAGCAATACGACCGCGAGGAGCAACTAAGAAATGCAAAAGGAGAAGTAAAAGCAAAAACCTGTGAGTGGCACTTCCTCCCCGCCCCTCTCAGGTGGCCGCATACGTTGCTAAGGTGGGAATTTTAGTGACAAACTGGGATAAACGGCGTTCCGGAGGCAAGTACACCAAGCCTCCCTTACGTAAGAAGCGGAAGAGCGTGTCCTCCAGGAAGAGGCGGAGTCGAGGTAAGGGAGAGAAATGCTTCATTCAGGAATGGATTTTGGAGTTTCTGGGCGCTGAAGAAATAGAGGGCCTTCCACCGCAGACCTCGGGAGTCGACCCCGTGGAGCCTCGCCAGGCTCGGGACCTACCGCTGAGTAAATCCGGTCCAGGGTGCTGCGACTCACTGGCTTCATGGTAAGGAGGCAGCGGCGGCGGTCCGGGAGCACAGGCGGAAGCTGCAGGCCCTAGAGTAACCTCCGGGGCGGTGGCTGCCGAGCGGCGGCGGCAGCGGCGGCGGCAGCCATCTTTCATCCGGGCGCGAGCGCCCGCCCCCTCGCGTCCGGGCGCGTTTCCTCCGGCGGGGCCGGCCTCTTCCGCCCGGAGCTGGGAGCGAGGTCACGTGATCGGGGGCCTATCCCCGCCTTTGGGGAGAAGGTGAGAGAAACGAGAATACATGTTAAAAGTGGGTATTTTGCTGCTTAGGGGGACAATCTTGACTCGTCACCGGTTTTCTTTCAGTTGCAGTGCAGTATTATTGCGGGTTAAGGTACCGTCGTGTGCATTTAAGTTATTTGGAAAAACAATCCACGTTTTAAATAATACACCGGCGTCTAACGCTGGAAGAATTATTGTTTTATCCCGGGTGTGTTCCCACAGTATAGGTAGAGGTTCGTGTATTCATCTTTGACATAAACAGGAATACCACTCGGTTTTATATAGCGGACGAATAGTGCAAATTCCTGTTAATTGAGCTTTTCTCCAAAAAACAAAATTCTTTGAGAACGCAATAGCTTGTTGATGTCAGTGATACTTACAAAAAGTAGCGAGGCACCAGTTACCAGGTATAATGTACCTGCTAGTCAGTCAACAAGTGTTTATTGAGCTTAGAACGGTAGCACAGTCAAATATTAAGCCAGAGGACGCCGTTTGGCACGCGGGCCGTTGTACCAAGTTCAGCTCTAGAATGTTTGGGACGATTACTTTTGAGGCCTAGGGGCAGAATGGGGCAACGGCCGCGTTAGGCTCCAGGCGTCCTGTCTCTATACGTCTCATATCACCGCAGCAGGGTTTCAATCCAGCTTTCAGGGAGTAGGGAAGAGGAAAATCGTATCTGGGGGAACCTTTCAAGACTTGTTCTCTTAGATAAAATCCCTGTTTATCCTCGACGGGAGTAGATCCCTCTCTCTCTGAAGACTGTAGGGCTCTGACCTGGGATTGCGTTCGAATCCCGGTGTTGTTTCCTCACTGTGCTACCGTAGGTAAAGTTACTCAGTTCCTTTATGGACCAGAGAGAATTTCAATCACTTCTCACAGAGTTTGGTGAGGTTTGAAGGAGACCAAGCTAGGTAGCGTGTCTTCCGGGTAAGTTAAGAAGAAGAAGAAAACATTAAGCCGGTGCCCCTGTAACCCCTAGAGATCAACAGTAACAAGGGTGATGGTAAGATAGTGGCTTGTGGGCGGGAGGGTCCCTGCGCTCCCACTCCAGGAGCGGGAGTGGAAGCGGGGTGGGGGGGAGTTGCCCCGTGGGGGGAGGGGCGGGGCTCAGGCCAAGCGCGCTAGGCCCCGCCCTCCGGGCCGGCGTCTTCTACCGCGCATGCGCTACGCAGGCGGGGGCTGTGTTTGGACGCGCGGGGGGCCGCTGAGTGGGTTTCGCTTCTTGCTGCCGCCCCCGAGCTGCCATTGGTAATGAGAACTTTACGTCACAGGGGTCGCAGCAGCCGCCGGGGTCTCCGCTGTCTCGCGAGGAGGGTGAAGCGCCCCCTGCTCCCGCTCCTGAGGGCAGGCGGAGAAGTCGCCGGGTTCGTCTTCGCGGGTCCTGCCGTCACCGACCCAGCTTTCTGGGCCGCCGGGAGCTTGCCACGAGCGCCCCAGCCGGGCCTGCGCCGGCATCCTCCGAGGTGAGTGAGATTGGGAACAATGGGGCGCGGGGGTCGGAAGAGCTGGGCGAGCCGGAGCTCCCGCCTGCAGCGAGGCCCCGGGGCGAGGGAGCTGCGGTCTGGGTCTGCGGGGCCGGCGCCACCCGGCGGGCCGGGGGTCCGGCGAGCTGGCGCTCCTTCCGCGCACCTGTGGATCTGAGCCGGTGGGCGGAGGAGGGCTGCGTTTCCGAGGAGCGCTGTGGCAAGCGCGAGCCCAGCCGTGTACTGGAAAGCGCTTGATCTCTAGGGGAGAACCAGCCTAAAATACAAAACGTTCGAGTCTGAATCGTGGCATCGCCACTGTCACAGATGTGACCTTGGACGGCTCCCCTAATCTCTCTGAGTATGTCTGTAAAATGGGAGTAACAGTATTTTTGTTCGTTTTAGTTATGTAATGCACGCGGTACTTGTCTCAGATCCTGGCAGGTGGCAGTTTTCAACCAAACGAAGTGACTATCGCTTGACTATTGGAGTTGTCTGTGCCCTGTTCTACTCTGTGGACTAGGCTCCCCAGCCTGTAATTTCTTCATCCATCAAGTCAGTGCAGCTTTCCTCGTGGGCCGCTGATTGGTAGAGTGGAAGGGGGCCGGACTGAGATGAGGCAAATAGTGATTTGATAGGAAAAGTGGATAGAATTTTGGTACGTAACTTTCAAGATTATTTAAGATAAATTGAAAAAGAGGAACAAGTTTAAGTTAATGTCGGTGAGGGCTGGGGTTTTTTGTTTTTAGTCAGTGACTTTGAAAGCTATGCAGTCAGCCGAAACAGTCGTGCTTATCTGAAATGAGTGGCTTTAGAGAGAAATGGTTCCCAAGCAAATATTGCTGGATCTGGAATTAAATTTTGTAGGATCTGGTCAGTAGTCATGTAACTTCGGTTTGATCTTTTTGAATTGGTGGTTAAGTTGTAGTTCACAGAGGGATACAGTGATTTCTTCAAGGTCACAAGAGAGAGGACTCAGATTATTTTTAATACTTGGGGGAATTGTGTTGCTAGCTTATCCACTTCTGAACCCTTCTTATCCACTTTGCTTAGATATATTGAGTACAATACTGTTACTAATATGAAGATCATTTAGTTGTTCTAGATTCTTATCTTTCTGGGCATTTATAATCAGTTATGAGTGATGGAAATGACCACAGTTAACTTTATTTTCACATAACATACAGTATTAAGTTTTTACTGCATAGCAAGCACTATACTAAGTGTTTACATAGAGTGTACCCCTTCACACAACCTTTTCAGGTGGGTACTGTTGCTTAACCCATTTTAGAATTAAGAAAATTTAAAGTTTTGAGAAATTAAATAATTTCCTCCAGATCACACCACTTATAAGTGGTTTTGATTTCCAGCCCTGGCTCTGCATTAAAATTTAACATCATTCTGTCAGATGTAATCAGCCATTGATTAAATTGTATATGCAGTGATAGTTTAAGGAATGCCATAAAAGTTAGCTTTTATAGGAAGTTTGGCTTTATTAAATATTTGATTTTGCAGAGTATTCCTGCTTTGTTTGTATCACTGTGCAGTTTTTTAAATGTCCAGTCTGTGGTCTAGTTTAGACTCTATTGGCTCTTACCTGCCCCTCATTCATTTTCTCTAGATGTGGATGCTTATTGATTATATGAAATTCTCCCAAAATGTGATACGAAGGGTTCTTATCTTTGTTAAAGTCAACACATTTGAATATTTGGAGCAGGAAAGGTTTTGTTTAATCAGTTTATCCCAAAGATGGTAAACTTTGTTTAAAATTTGGGAGGCAGTTGAGGAAAAAGGTTCAGAACTGATTAATCTCCCCTGTGAGGAAATTAAAGTCCTAATTCCTAGAGTGCAAGGGGTAGAGGAAATGTATCACAGATTTCTTCTGGAACCTGAAGCACTAAATCTAACATCAGGTCCACCTTTGCTACCTCACCCAGAACTGCAGACCTCCAAATCTTAAATCTGTCTCCTCTCCATCTCTGTTATATGCTTTAATTTGTATTTTTTAAACAACTTTCTTTGTTGAGATATAATTTATATTCGATCTATAAAGTTCACTTCTTTAAAGTGTATAATACAATGAGTTTTAGTATATTTACAGAGTTGTGCATCTGTAATCTAATTGAATGTTTTCCTCATCCTAGGAAGTAACCTTATTATCCCTCTCCCCTCCCCAGCAACCACCAATCTACTTTCTATCTATGGATTTGCCTTTTCTGTACATTTCATATAAAATGGCATACATGTGGTCTTTTGTGATTGACTTTTTTCGTTTAGTGTAATAACAAGGTTCATTCATGTTGTAGCGTGTATCAGTACTTTGTTCTGTTTAATTGTCAAATATTCCACTATATGGATATACCACATTCATCAGTTGATGGACATTTGGGTTATTTCCACTTTTAAGCTATTATGACGAATGCTGCTGTGAGTGTTCACTTACAAGTTTATGTGTGGGCATATTTTTGTTTCTCTTGTTTAGATAGGTGTGGAATTGCTGGATCATATGGTAGTTCTACTTCATTTGATTTAGCACATTTTAATTTTAGAATTTAGTGATGATTTTGAAAGAGTAAATCTCTTATTTAATGATTTACATTCATTGCAATTGATGTTTCTGAAGAATACTATTCTTTGTAGCTAAAGATATTCCTGTGTAGCAATACAAAACAGAACTAATAAATTAATTTGTTCTTTTGGTCTACTATAGATGGCATCACTTGTCATTCTTTAGACTTGAGCTGTCAGAGTGCTTATAACAGGCTTCTAACACTAGGAAATCAGAGGACTAAGATTCCATTTTTAAAAAATTATAATTAGTTGAGATTTTATTTTTAGTTTAAACTTCCAGTTTACTACCAAATCGTTTCTTTAATAAATTCGTTCTGGGTTGTGATTTTTATGTAAACTGGAAATGTTTAGTAAACACTAGAATTCTCTATTCTAAAGAAGCAAATTAAGATAAAATGTATCATCTTGAAATTCATCAGTCTTTTTTAAAGTCTAGTAATCCCTTTCTTATACAGAAGAGTAAACTGAAATCCAGAGTTAATATGGATTTCTCCACTTCACAGAGTTAGTTTCAGATGAAGCCTGGTGTTGGATCCAGATCTGATAACCTCTCTAGTGCCCTCTCCACTCTTCACTCCTCCCCCTAATGCACACGCACTCTTATCCTAGAGGTTTTTACTTTTAGGGTTTTTTTTTTTCTATAGAGAATTTAAAAATATTAGAAGTAGGGGGAAATGCTGAGAAATTTATGCAATATTAAGGTTTCAGAGTTTAAATATATTAGCAAAAATGCAGTTAGTATTAGTATTGTCTATTCTATTTAAGGGCAGTGGTAAGTTTTATATTTCCATTCTAGAAAACAGGCCTAGAAGTGTTGGACCTTTGAAGAAACTTGTTCAGCTCTGAGAAAGCTAAGCTGCCCT